TAAAAAATAATCCGTTTCAAGAGGAAAAATATGACTTCCTCCCATCTTCGAATAACACAAAACAAAAATGCCAGATATGTTTTTTCTTCTTTTTAATGTGTATAATTTTTAATAATCAAGCTGAAAATCATTCAAAGAGTCTAAAAAACCAAAAAAAGTGCATTTAGAATTTCTGGAATATTTTCCCAAGTGATATTTACTCTGCAAGTAGACAGTCTTAGCATTTCAGAACTGGCCTCAGTTTGTCACAAATCCAAGTATTTGCAAAGTTATGGTCATTAGAAATTAATCAAAACTAACACATCTTGATAATTTTTCTTTGTTTCTTAATCATTTCACTCCATGTAAGGCGATAAAGCTACTCAGACGCAAAGGAGTTACTGAGTATGAAAGAATATAAGAAAAACATTATTAAGGAGAGAGAACAATAGAAAAAAGAGGAATTAAGAAAACTGAAGATAAGGATTGACATTGCATTTAAATTTTTGAAGATCAATGTTGGCTGTGAAGCATGGAGCCAGAATAATTTTCCACAATCTATAAATGTGAGAAAATAAACTGTTCGCATAGAACTTCAAGTTTACATCGAGCCAATTCAACTGTGAATTGATGAGACCTTGCTGCCAGTCTAGTACTTTTTTCTTCCTCGTTTTGCAAAGACAGACATTTTGGATATGTTGTGGGGCTCTCCCTTTTTTACGTAAGATGGACTCATCCAAAGTATACTTATATTGACAGAGAGAATATCTGCAGTTGAGATATGTCGAGATACAGTCTCTGACTGTGTTTAACGTCTGTTGAACAGTAGAAAATTTGGCAAGAGAAATTTATTGGAAAATTTGTAAAAAAAGCAAAAGTTTCATCTGGGGAGGTATAACAGTCTAACAAATAATGCTTATGTAATTCAAAGTATAAAATTTTTAAATGAGCCTACGGGCTCAGAGAAACCCAGTTTAAACTCGGCCTTGTGCCACATTTATTCCTTGTGGGTGGAATATTAAATATTGAGATATGTTGAGATGCGTGGAGATACGTTTGAGATACATTGAGACAGGTTGAGAGATACAGAGACAAACACAGGGTGTTCTCAGAGAGTTATACAAGAATCCAGAGAGAGAGAGGATTATTTTTTTTTACTTACAGAGGCTTGTACATATACTTTCTACTAACCCGCATTCCTGGACTACTAATCTTCACTTCAAGTTTGTATTCTTACATTTAATACACTTATTTTTCTATCTCAATTACTGGTGTTGTTTATTTATTTGTGCAGGATTCCATTCACGGAATCCACAACAGGATATTTTGCTGAAATGAATGTTATAAATTAGAGACAGGTTTAAATTGACACTCTTTTTCAAATATGGCCAATGCCAAGTCAATTTGGATGGCATTATGGAGCAATGGAAAGTGGTTCGGATTAAGGAATTGGAGAGCTAACTCACCTCTCCAATTGCTTAATCCAAGTCATTTTCTATTGCTCCACAAATTGCAGTTAAATTCATTGGGAAATGTATGAATCCTTCTCTTTTCCTCCCCCAGCTATGGTTAAATAGTAGAATATACTGGGTCCTTGGCATCCGCTCTACAAGAAAGACAACTCTGAATTCAAATCTTCCAACTATAGGTTAAATTGCCTTATCTTCTGTGTGCTGTGTCTCTTCAGGACGTTAGCAAACATGGCCCTCCACAATTTCCTGTCCTTTGTAGCTAATAAAAAATTTTGTTCTTCTGTTATCTCCCGTGAACCTTATACCACTCTCCATTTACTCAATACGTTTATGTGTTGTTTTCTTCTGTCCCTCTTGTTTTCAATCTGTCCTGTGAGTATCAGATTTTTCCAAGACCTCTTTCCTCGTTATATGTCCGAGAAATTTCAACTGTATCTTCCTAATAAAATGGAACAAAAAGGTCACTTATACTTAACAAGTGAACTTTTTGTTCCATTTTCTCTAAAACTTCATTGTTGCTCACATGTTCAATCAATGGCATTCTCAGCATCCTTCTGTAGAACCATATTTCTGATGCTTCTGCATCTGTAAGGAGATTGTCCAGCATCCAATGCAAATATAGAGGACAGATATCATGTAAGAGTTCAGTTTGCCTTTTGTTTGTTTTTAAATTGAAATTTTTCATTTTTTTTAATTTGTACATTAATTTTTGGAAGGCATCTTTTTACTATCTCAATACACCTTCAGATTTCATTGTCACAATTTTCTATCCTCTGTTAAAAGGTTTTCCCAGATATTTAAATTTTTATAAAATTTATTTTAGTATCACTAATTTGTAATTTGCATGTTGGGGATCTTTTTTTGCTTTGTCTTATAACAGTTGTCCAAAATAACTGCAAAGATGTTTACAACCTCTGAATATATTGTTAATTTTAAGGGATGTTCCTTTCAACAGCTTTGAGAAGGCATTGACATTTGGATAAAGAAAAGGGTAGAATTCTTTCAAATTTCATGATTCTTTTTTTTTTTTACTTAAATTTTTGTTTCTAACCCCAATTTAAAATAATCCAAAACAAAAAAAACCCACCCTTATTTATTGGATGAAATAACAGTTTGTATTTGGATATCTTCATTGTTGTTATCATGTTTTGGAAATTTAAAATTTCATCCTCTAGTCTGTCAGGTGTACATCCAATATAAAATTAACAGGAAATTCTGAATTTGACCCTTTATTTAATCTACAGGGGTACACATTTCACATTCCAATGCTCATGTCTCATGATATTGTCTTGTTCTTATTTTTATTTAGTACTGTTCAGTTATTGCTTGTCCGTTTCCAACCTCACAAACCAACAATTTAATTCACTACGCCATTGTCTCATCGGGCAATTTGATGCAGTGAGCTTGGAACTTTAAACCTAACCTGCCTGCTGATTAGGTTGCAACTGTTGCTACTGTCATGATCATTTGTCTTCCTTTTTTATTGAAAAAATTCTTAATTGTATTTTATTTCTATGCTAAGTCTAAATAAAGAGGTCTTCATAAATTAGCAATGCACTGATTTTTCAGAAAAATATTAATTCTCCAATGTTCTTTTTGTTCAGTAAAAAAACTTTCATTTTAGCTAGGGCTTTCCTTTAGGCCCCCTTTCCTATTGGTAAACATGATCAGCTATGACTGATTTGATTGTCTCACCCCTCACTATGGCTTTTCAATGTTCCTCCAGCCTTACAAAATTATTATTTTTCTTTTCATATGTTAATTTGATCATTACCCACTTTTGGCAACATATATCAATTTACGGCATAATTTTCCTTATATTCATCAGAAAATCATGATTTAGATTTCTATTCTTATGTTCTTTCAGTGGCACAATCCATTTTGGGGACTGAAGATGACCCTCAAAGAAAAAAAAAATGGGTTAAATAAAAATTTAAATTTTTAAAAAATTTTTGATTAACCCTTTTTATTTAAAAAAAAAAATTTTTTAAAATTATAATTACGAAAGCTTTATTTTAATCTTCCTCTTAAGTATAAATAACATTAATGCAGTTCCATAATTGAGCTGAAAATTATTGAGTGGGTTCAAAAAACTGCTTGGTTCTATTGTGTGATCCCACTGTGAATTTCTTCTTGATATAGATTTTATTAGACACAATAAGAGATTAACAACAATAACTAATAATAAAATAGAACAATTATAGCAATATTGGAATAAAGTTGTATGCTTTTGTTTAGAAGATTCATTATTTTATTCATTAAATCAAGAATTTTCCCTTTTCATTTTTATTTGTTTTTTATTGGATTTCTTTGGAATAATTAAAATACACTTACCAATATTCTTACAGCTTTGGGGCAATTATTAATTAAAATTTAGAAATTGCTTATTGCTGTAGTTGACCTTGGATTTGAAATACAAAATAAACTTAATTTGTTTTAAATAAAATGAAATTTATAGTAAAAATGTATTTTGAAAAGGAAATCAAGAATATTAAGTGATTAAAAAAGAAATAACAACAAAGAATTTATGGCAAACTTGGACCTTCATGCCTGCAAAAAAAACAAAGCACCAAAAGGTTGGTTTTTCCCTTGCCACTGCTATTATTTTAACTACCTTCACTCCTCAGCAATGTTTATCGTATTAAAAAGGAATGATTAAAATCATAATAAAACCTAAGCATATCAATAAAGTGAATTTATACATTTTTTGTTCTTAAGAATTGACAACAAAAATATTAAACACTATTTATTTATTTGATTGTTTATTTACAAGAATAATTTTATATTTATAACATCCTAAAAACTAATACAGTTAAAACTAATGCTATGCAATATTTATCCTTTACCAATTTATAAAAAAATAAATATGAAAACAATTTTTTATTCATAAATCTATAAGCATTTACAAAATGTGGAAACTAACTCTAATGAAATCCTTATTATTTACCATTTTATAAAGTTTGAATCAATTGGCAATTAACTGATGTTTTGCCAACCATTCCATTAAAGAATCTAATAAATAAATAGTGTTTATTACTTTTGTCATCAATTCTTATGAAAAAGTGAGGGATCAATTTATATATTGATTGTAATAAAGAACTGACCCCCCACTTTATATCCACATTATAATTTCTTGTTTGTTTATCAAATTCTGATTAGGTATGAATCCACATCTTCTCTCCCAATCTATGGATTAATTAGTAAGACTTGTATCACTAAACCATTATTATCTCAAACAAAAAAGATATGAAAACATTTTTTTTATTCTTAAACTTATAAGAATTTATTAAAATACTTAAATATGTGAACCAACTCTAATGAAATCCTTATTATTTATCATTTTATAAAGTTTGAGTTAATTGGCAATTAACTGATGTTTTGCCAACCATTCCAATAAACAATAAATAAATATTGTAAATAAAGAACCTAATAAATAAAGTTTTTATTATTTTTGTTATCAATTCTCAAGAACAAAGAAAATGTATAAGTTCACTTCCTTTCACTGTTTCTTTGTAAGGACAAAGTTCCAAGTTTATTGAATTTACTTACCTGTACACGTAAAACATCCATTTCCACAATAATAAGAATGGCGTAAACTATTGTAACAATCCAGGTGAGATCCACACGTATGTATGTCCAATCAAGGTTGTTCTTGTAAAGAGAGATGAGCTTTAAAATTTTTAATACAAATGTTGAGGCCCAGTATCCAAGAAGTATCAGTAAAAATCCCGGAGAGTTCCAGATTTCAACGTTGTGATAATACGTAATGCTCATAATCGAACCCATCAGAGCAATGAACGGAGGAATAAATACATGGTAGTTGACTGTGTCTGGATCGTGAGCATCAGATGTTAATCCCTCGGTAATTTCGAAGATGTTAAGCACAATCAGAAAGAGAATGATCAGCCATCGGAACTCATGAATGCGGAAATGAACCCAAGTCTTGACCTTTTTCGTGCCTATCACCGACTTACTCCAAATGATCAGGATTGGGAGACTGATGATGAGGAAGATACAATGTGGGACAATGTTGAGCACATCAATGAAACAGTCATTTTGGAGGACACCGTTTGTGACGCTAAGGGCGTCAATCCGGGATCCGCAGAAACCGTATGTCTTTGCCGAAAGGCTGGGTGACAGTGTCGACAAAGGTTGAGTTTCCATAGTGGACAGAAAATTGCTAGAATTGGTAGATGCCATAATACAAAAAAACGAGACTAATGTCTAACGTATAGATTTCTATATTTTCTTTAAAGCCTTGCTATCATTACAGTCATTAGACAGGCAAATTGTTTTTATAAATATAGATTTTCAGGTTTTAAAATAATTAAGGTGTGAAGTTGTCCTTCAGAAGGGATGGATAGAAAGACTATTGTTCTTTTTTTCTTTAAATGTTATGGTGGTTTTGAATAAAAGAAACACACGTCCTTTCACTTCTGAAGATTCTCTTATTTAATCTTTGAATATTAAAGATTTTACAAGTATATAATTCAGCTTCACTGTTAAGATTATTTTAATACTACTGTATATATTACATAGAGGTTTTAAGATTATTTCTACACCATTTTTTGTCTTTAATGACTGTAACGTTCTGTTGTACAAGATTTTACTAATGATACAAGGTATTTTTTATTGTAGTAAAATTGTGTCTCTTGTACTGGCGACGCCAGATGGCAGTGTCTTTCTAATAACAATGGCAGAATGTTACAAAATATTCCCAAAGCCGGTGGGTGAAAAGTCCGACTCTGTGAAGGAATAGAGTACAACAATAACAAGTGGAAAAAATATATTTAAAATGTTGTCATATTTCTTTTTTTTAATGGTATGAATAAACCCATACAAAATAAATTTGTGTACACCAACACAATATCTGGATTTTTTTTTTTTAGATAAATATTTTTTTCAACTTTTTTCCGGCAAATTTCTCACGTGTCACAAGTTCTCCCCATGCAAATTTTAAATGTTTTATCATAAAATAATTTGTTGTCCGGTTGGAATTTGATTCCCGTTGTCGTGGTGGGAAGAAAGACTCTCTGAATACGAGATGTCCAACGCAGGTGCAAACTTAAGTAAACGAGAAAAAATATATAGATATACATTAATGCTTGGAAATATACATGTCACAAAAATAGATATATAAACAAATAAATATATATATGTTTTATAGTGAATTTTAGTTTTGTTAGAGAGGAACAGGCTAATATTATTATAGTTCTTGTGGTGTTTGATTGCATTTTGTTCTTATAAATGGCATGTGTGTCTGCATGAAAGAGTAGTTGTTGTGTAACCTATATATGACATTTTGTTTATTTTGTACAGAGATGCAATGTATATATATATATACATTGCATCTCTACATAATGAGATGAAAATATATATATATATATATATATATATATATATATATCCAGGTAAGATGACAAAGAATAGAGTACAATTTCAATGTTCATAACATTTAATTTAAAAAAGGGCTAAATACAAAGTAGAGCAATATTCTTTATTTTAGGATATTACATGGAAAACATGTCAAAATCGCTATACAATTGATGCCGTGTTTCGATGCATGTCAATGCATCTCATCAGGCAATTGTAAATTACTGGTGAGTGAATGATTTATTTAGATTTAAAAGCCAAATGCAGCCTCTTTTTATGAAAAAAAGAAAAAAGTGATGTGCTTAAAAGGTTTGTGGGCTTTACTCAGATGAACCAATCAAATATGGCCTACATTAAATTTAAACTGAGTGAAGAAGCAAACAGTATATATATATATATATATATTGCATCTCTATACATAATAAACAAGATGTCATATATAGGTTACACAACAACCACTTTTTCATGCAGATAGACATGCCATTTATAAGAACAAAGTGCAATTAACCAAACATCACAAGAACTATGATATTAGCCTGTTCCTCCATAACAAAACTAAAAGACACCATAAATCCAACTGAAAAAAAAGTTATTGAAGCCAATTATATTCAACAAAAGCAAACATGTATTAATAAAAGAATAATTATAGTTTAAAGTCCTGTATTCCTGAATACATTTAAAAAATTACACATCATTACATGTTGTCGTTAGACGCTGATATGATTTACTACATTCTACTGCATTTGATTTAAGTTTAGACAAAAAAATAATGCCACTTTAAAACATAAAAGAGAGATCTGTCTATATTCTGAGATGAGGTATTATGTACATTATTTACATTATTTGGACTATTGTCCTCATCTTTGTTGCCATATTTATTACAACGTTTCAGCCCTTCAGTATCTGTCTATATTTGTGAGATGAGGTATTATGTACATTATTTACATTATTCGAACTATTGTCCTCATCTTTGTCACCATATTTATTAAAACATTTCGGCCCTTCAGTATCTGTCTATATTTCTGAGATGAGGTATTATGTACATTATTTACATTATTCGGACTATTGTCCTCATCTATGTCGCCATATTTATTACGTTTCAGCCCTTCAGTATCTGTCTATATTTCTGAGATGAGGTATTATGTACACTATTTACATTATTCAGACTATTGTCCTCATCTTTGTCGCCATATTTATCACAACGTTTCGGCCGTTGTACACTCTGGCTTTCTTCAGGTGGTTGGAATTGAACTCAATACAAATTTTGGTTATTTTTTACACATGCCTTGAGCGCCTATTAACTCAACCCAGACCCCAAGTGGAGCTCATACATATGACCCATGGCTAAAGATACTGGAAAAAAAGACTATAATGATTGCTTAAAACTTGAATGCATATAAAAACAAAATTACATGTCATTACACATTGCTGAATATTTATTGCATCAAATTACACAATTATGGCACAAGACCAAAATGGGGAGGTGTTGAGGCTGGTCTTCACTAACTATCCTATACCTAGCTAATCTGATTCATGACCCATTCACTCATTACAATTTGCCCATTCACCACAAAAACCCATCTGTCACCAATCAATCCTCCATACACCATAATACCACATCCTCTCAAGGGGGTCCTACAAAACACGCCCCATACCATAAAAATATAATGATTATATATGTGTACTTAAAAATTTATGGATGAATAAAATGAGAGAGGGGGAGATGAACCCAATAAGAAACTAAAATGTTAACACAAAAGGGCCCATCCAACCCTCAAAAATGAGAGGTCGATGTATTCTGCCCATTTGGACAAAATCAAGAGGCTCTCTCGCTAAGGGAGTGGGAAAGGGGAAAAATATATGGACATGGGAAATATAAAAGCTGACCCAGTCGAGATGAAAAGGGGGCCAAAACAAACTGGGGAGGTTGGGAATCTCGACTTGAATCATAACCAAAGAGGCAGCCAGGAACAACACTTACATTAACTAGGTACACAAAAGTTTGTCTAACCTAACCAAGGGGAGGGCCCTGCACATTGCTGGGACACATTGCTGACATGACTTACTATATTCTACTTCATCTGATTTAGCTTTCAAGCCAAATAAAAAATATCGCCACTTAGAATACATTTGATTTTCTTTCCTTCCCTTTATTTTCTCAAACTCCTGATGATGACTTATGTGAGTCAGAAGCTCGGAGCTAATACAAATTTTGGCAATTTTCTACACATCTTGAGTGCCTATTGTGACTTAAGCACAACCCAAACCTCAAGTGGAGTTCAGACATATGATTCATCACTAAGGATGCTGGAAAAATAGTCAGTTCCCTGTACCGCTCCAGTAAGTACCTGACTCTTATTTTCTACCTTCACAAGAGCCAAATGAGGCCGAAATTGGAGTATCACTGTCATATATGGGCAGGAGCTGCCCAGTCATGTGTATTTTCTCTCTGGTGCAAGTAGTTGGTGTGATGATTCATGTGAATCAAAAGCTCAGAGCTAATACAAATTTTAGCTATTTTTTTCATTTACAACAGCCACATTTGTGAAAAGTTTTATAAAACAAATGATTAGTTGAAGAATCAGAAATGTGATACTCACCCCCACAGGGAAGTTCCCAACTAGCATCCAGTTGGCAGACAAAAAGAAAGTGGGCTGTAACTAAATATAGATCCCAGCATTCATGGCGTAATAATGGATATTTATTGATTACAGTATCCACACCAAATTCAGCAGCCAATCAGAACCTAGAGAATAGGCTTGCCCAAGTAACATAATGGAACATTCCAGCCTTCTATATAAACCACTCAACAACTGGCACAAGGACATGTTGTCAGAGCAGACTCAACTTCCAATACAGTTGAGTAAAGAAAACTAGTTTGCTACCAAAATCTACCATACAACTTCCCTAGCAAAAAAAAGAAAAATGAAAAACTAGAATGCCCAAAAATGAAAAACACTGGCATGTTTGGAGATTGTAACAATTCGGCACAAATGGCAAATGTTGAAATAAAAGAGGAAAAAGAAAGAAAAAAAAGAGAAATAACTAAAGAGCAAGTGTAAAGTAAAAAAAAAAAAATGAAGAAAAGGAAAAAGGATCACAACACAATACATGTATGCACAGCCACACAGACGGACAAATGCATGCAAACACTCATCCATACAGATGAGCACATGGCCACACACAGGCAAATGCAC